CAGTTTTAAGCTGCAATGACTCAATTACATATTTTTTCCATTAATGCTGACTTCAAGTGTTTTTACAAATTTGAGTATCATACTATCATTTGATTAAATTCTATTATTTGTGACCCTTTTGTTCGGATTGTTGCTATAGATAACTCTGCATTCAGGTTTGTATTTGATGCATCTTTTCCTTGATCTGTCTTGAGAATGTTTCTTAGCAACAGTTATGTTTACCATTGAATAAATGAATTAGCTAGCCCAAACCTTGCATGAAGCACATTAATATCTAATCTCATTTTTTGTGACTTGATTTAAGATATTATAATTTAATGTGGGCTGCAACTTGAACTCTGTTCATGATTCCAAAATTATATAACTCTGTTCATTATATAATATCTCCTTGTAACAAATACTTTTGCTGCTTGCAATGATGATTATGTTGAAACAATGAATATCTCAGATCAAAGCAAGAAGTAGATGTATGAAACAGGGTATAATAAAATGTATGCAGTTAAACATGGCAAGGGCCGACGTAGCCTGGAACCGACCCGAACTCGCGATAAAATTGGGCCAGAATTCGGGTCTTTGTTTTTCTTTTTTGACAAGCCGATTCCGAGTTGGAAGATGGATAGTAGTTGTATTTATTATTTTTTAATTTTTAATTTTTTTTTAAAAACTAGCGGTTCAATGAACCACCGGATACCGGCCCTTTAGATATATCCGGGCTAGTTCTGGGCCCAGCATTTGGGGCCCACCAAACCGGCAGACCGAGCCGAGTCGTAAACCAGCCCAGCCTTTGGACACGTCTACAGGCCCGTCTTATAAGGGGGGGCAGCTGGTGCGACGCCCAAGGGCCCATGAGGCTGGAGGGGCCCATGAATATACTGTATATATATGTATAGTAGATGTATTGGCCAATTCAAGTAATAATTAATTTAACATCTAAGCCCAATAATTAGAGCGGAGGCAAGTAACATGTGTACCTGGGTTGTAGCCCGGATGCCCCTCAACCATCATTTAATAGGAGAATAGTATATAATATTCTTGCTTTTTAGAAAAACAAAATTTAGCCGGTGGCATATGAGAAACCAACATGTCTTACTATATTTTTTTTGTCTTGTTTCTATTAAATGGTTATGTGCTTGATAAAAATTGAGTCTCCTTATAATAAATTTATGTTTGTTTTCCCTCTGTTTATATTTTGCAATAGTTCACCTTTTATATGTAATTTTATACAATAATTAATATTCTAATTATATATTTCTTTTACGTTAAAAAGTTCTTTTGTTTATTAGTTATATACTAAATTTTGCTTATTTTGTTCATTTTTCAATTTATATACTTCACATTAAATATAATTAATGTCTATTAAGTAATTTATTTTTTATTTTGGACTAATTTAGTGTTTAGTTGGCCACACTTAAAGTTTAGGGAGATGTTACGATCCTGTTGCGGAACCATTTCGACGGTGTTTGTAACCGTTAAATCAACTATCCCCGACGGTTACATGATAATCTAACTGTTACAAACCCCGACGGAATTGTTACGTAACGGGGCCGTAACATTTTCTTAAAGTTTATTAAGTAATTTAATTTTTATTTGGTGTTTGCTCTTAAAATTTATTTATGAGGCATGTGGGTTTTCATAAAAAATTTTTAGCCCGGGTAGATATTGAATCCTGGCTCCGCCCCTGCCAATAACATCAACAGAATCAATTGATAAACGTGTGTCCTTCAGGTCCGGGTAACAAATCTCCCCTCGCCCCGGCTCGCTCGTCCGACCCGGCTTGCCTTTTTTTTTTTATTTTAAGAAAAATATTTATATATAAGTTAAATATTGGTCTCATTTCTCTATCTCAAACTTCATCCTCGTCTCGCTTCGGACATCTCCGGCGCCTCGCATGAGACTGTGAGTCGCCTCCGACACTGCCTTCGGGACACCGCCTCCACCGGGGCCCTTAGCGTCTTGCTTGCCCAAGGGCCATCGAAATTGTTGAGACGGCCCTGCACGTCTATATAGTTAAGCTTTACAAGATCTGCAGATATACGTTGCTCATAAGTAGATAACGAAACAACCAAACTTACCTGATAACTTCTCATTAACAAAATGCAGTGAAATACAAGCACAAGACAGGATCACAAGCTTTCAAGTCTAACGAATGTTCTGCTTCAGTTTAAAATAAAAGGAAAAAACTTCAAAAAGAGAACAACAATAAATCTGATAAAGACTCCGGCAAATCTAATTCTCGGTCTGCTCTCTTAGCCTCCTGATGGTGCTGCGAACAGTAACGGCACTAGCAGTGCTGAAGAATAAGAAAAGCATGTGTTATAAATCAAATAAAAACAATAATTGCATTGAAAAGTTAAGTGGCAATGTGAAAAAATCAATACTTCAAGGTGTAGGCACCGCCAGCTTTCACTTTGCCACAGTCCTTGCATCCCCATATCCCGACAGCTTTCCTCTTCACGGCGTACTGTAATGGCAGCTTACAACTTTATTGTACACAGGAAATTTACTAAACCTAAGAGTATTGAGTAAACCACTTAAGAAAACTTTTCGCGGTTCGAAATAACTCTTACCTTCCCACAAAACTCGCAGAAGTACTTGCTGTGCTGACTAACTTCCATTTTCTTGATCTGCTTCCTCAAACTGGCACCATAACGGGTACCTTAAAACAAGATTCAAAGCATATCACGTCAAGAAAAATCATATACAAAAGCATTCGCAGTTGGAAAAATACCAATGCAGGACAAAATTTTATAATTACAACAAACATGAATATGAGAGATCATATTATTACCATATTTTCCAACAATGCCAACCTTCTTTGTTCTCTTGGCCTGCAATTAAGTAAACATTTCAGTGAGGAACACGAAAATCCTTGTCCTCGGTAAAGTCACGAGCTGCTAAACTTTACAGTGAGGCATCAAAAGTTCCAAGAGAATATATGAATAGTTTATCCGCAAAAATGGGGACCCAATTTAACAAATCCAAGCATGAATATATGAGAGCTCGAAAAAGCCACGATTGATGGTGAAGGAAGAATCACCAAAGTCCAGATTAAGCTGATTATCAGGATGAAGTTACATATGACAACATTGAACACAGAATCATTTCTACAAATAAGCAAAACAAATGCACGATTTGGATCATACAGTGATCAAGATACGCAACGAAGCTCCATAAATTATGATACCAACAACATAAACACACAAAACCGCCGGATTGCAACGCTTTTCATCAAAATAATACGAAAAAAAAAATCTGAAATCTACACAATCAATCAAGCACGATCCATAATAATTGAACAAAAAGCAAACAATTTTACGCTGGGAAATACAAAAACGCAGAGATATGAGTGCTGAAAGAACACAAATTTGCGAGAATTGGTGCGTGCTGGCAAGAGATAGAAGACGAGCATACCATTTGAGCTGAGTCTGATGATTGGAAGCGCAAAAACCCTAGATTCAGCTCCCTCTTCTAAAAGGTTTTGATGGGTCAGCCCTTTTATTATATATCTAGGCGACAGTGGCCTGGACTTGTGGGCTAATGAACTTTACGGCCCAATATTATGGCCCATTGGACGGGCTAACTACTCTATCTTTTCATCGTTCAGTCTACGTAACGTAGAACATGAAAAATGAAATGAATGCTTCGTCTACATATAAGTAAAATTGTTGTTGATGAAACAAAGGTGCAATTATTGAGATTTATATATATATATATATATATATATATATACTATAAAAATTTCGGTTATTTAATATTGATACATAAAAATATTAAAAGTCGAAAAGTGAACTTGAAATTTATATATAAATAAAAAATGAGTTGTTCAATTTATTTATTATTGTCCTCGCCAATTTCATCGAGCGTGTTGCTTCTCTCTATAGTTTCCCACTCTAATCCACCCACAAACCTATCTATCAAATCAAATGAATTGGTACCTAAAAATCAAGTATAAAATTATCAAGGGACCATATTAATATGAGATATTATGGAGTAAAAAATAATATAAATAAAAATATGAAGTCTTGTAGTATAAGTATTCATTTTATATTAAAAAGATAATATAATGTGCACCAAAAAAAATAATAGTGGAAACCCTAACAAATTGACTCTTTTGCTCCAACTTGTTTTTCATTATATCAATATCACCTAACATTTTCATTTATCATTTAATAATTGATTTTTATGTGGAAATAAGTATATTCATATTTATATACTTGGTGTGAACAACTTGATCAGCCTAATTAATTAACTATTTTTTTCCTGCTGAAGTTGGGCGATTAACTAACCTAGAGCTAGTCCAATGAGTCCATTTTTTCCAACCTAACAAAACGAGACTTTTGTCAAACTTACAGTGCCACAAGAACATAAATTTCAGTTATGTCACATTCAAAATGAACATTTGTGAATAAAAACTCGTCTGAGCTTTACGCAGTCGAATATAATATATATTTTTTTTAAATCATAAATGAAAGTACACGTTCATTGTAATTTTCGAACATAATTAAACACGAGTTGTTAAAACTTTTTAGCTGTTGGGTTCGATTTTTTTTTTTTTTTAGCAACTGTTGGGTTCGATTTAAACCCTTTCTCTCAGTCAAAATATAAAACAATTAGCTCAACAACTCACTGAACCAGCAAATCATTATTAAAATGTGTAGCTTTGATGATCATTGCACAGTTTAATTGAATAAACAAATTAGAGCCGTCCAAATTTGATTTTATCTGCTTTCCTTGCCTGGCCAGTCAACAGGCCAGGTCACTGCCCGGCCCGGCTCAGCGGGCCAACGGGCCTCCCATAGGTGACTCTTGACCGGCCCGCCAAAAATCAAAGGACGGGTCAGTGAACCGACCCTGTCCCAGCCCGGTGGAAACCAAAAAAAGTGTGAACCGAGACCGAACAACAAGGGCACGGTTTCGGTTCTCAGAACCGCAACTTTTCGGGCCAGTTGGGGGCCGGGACGGCATGTCTATCCTTGCCCATCTTCTTCGGGAACAATCCAAAATTGTTTACATGACAAAAGTGGAAGTAATATTTTCTAGGCCTTTGTGTTTGAAATTATCCGTACTAGACAAAATTGCGAGTCTTGGTCAGCGTGGCCTCATTTTTCTTCGGTGCTGTGCCAAATCAAGATACTTTCTGGGCAAGAAATTACATAAAAAGAACCCTAACATATAAATATTCAAATAATTTAGACAAAAAAACCCATTTGATTTCCACAAGAGAGCGACAGATCGAAAGAGAAAGTGTGAGTCTTGTGTGTTTCCCTGTTCAATTTCTTTATCTATTTTTTTTTTTTTATTGCTAGTTGACGAAGAAAGACGAGAGAAAACTGTTCGAGTCTTTCTATATGCTATTTTGTAAACCGTGTTGAAAATCGAAGCGTTAGATATCGTGTGTGCGTGTGTGTGTGTGTGTGTGTGTGTGTGTAGAGAGAGGAA